CCAGATGATTCAGCATCTGGAATTGGTGGTGGCCTGGGAATCCACATTTAACAGGCTCCTGGCGGCTGTGGCTCTGGTCAGCCAGTTGGCTGAGAGGTCCTGTGCTTGGAGAGAACAGGGCACCCTTCTAGGCCCTGGAGGCCACTCGGCACAGCAGCCCAGCTCCTTCTCGGCTCTGGTTGTGGAGAAGCAGGATGCCACATGGGCTCAGTAGGCTGTAGTACCAGTCCATGTGTCTGCTTGCTTGCATTTCGTGCTGGCAACACTGATTCCCTAGCACTGAGGGACACACCGTCTATTCTCTTTCCACTCACCCATTTGCCAGGTGAGGACCCCAGCACCCAGAGAGGCACAGGGACCTGTCAAGGTCATCCAGCGAGCCTGGCAGAGAGCAGAGAGCCTGGCTCCCAGGCCAGGACTCTGTCTGATGAACCAGGTCCAGACGGGTACAATTTCCAGTTCTCCTGAGCCTCAGAGGCTCCAGCGACCCACTTTCCCTCCCTGACAGAATGGAAGTGTGAGACTTGGTGGCTCTCAGCTTAATGGGGGCCAGAGCTGCAGCCAGAACATTGAGCGGCTGCAAGTGGCACTGGCCTTGGGGTGGGGCCACAAGGACATGGAGGTATCAGCATGATGCTTGCAGGAGCGACAGCTGCCACGGTGTGTAGGCTCCATCCAGAATGCCAGCAGCTGTCCTTGCTCCGCCCCACCGCTCCGAGGCCTCTCCACCTGTGCCCCAGCCTTAGCACTCTCCAGACAGGCCCAGCATTCCGGAGATGGTCTGGAATTCTGGGGATGCCTCCAGTGGAGACCAGAGCCACAGGAGCTGCCTGGTCCCTGGGGAGGCCTGAGGGGAGATCTGAGGGGTCCCTTCAGGCCCACCCTTGGGAGCAGGAGAACTCAAGGACCTACACGTACACCTAGGAATGACAACATCCCAGGAGAGCAGGTGGGGCCACAGTGGGCCCACCTGCCAGTGCGCCATTCCACAGTTTAAGCACATACCTACTTTATGCCTGGCGTGGGCTGTATGCAACCCTCCAGAGGGAAGCCTCATCCCTAATTTCATGAAATTTACCATCAACTTGGGAAGACAAAAGAGAGCAATGAGTGCAGTGAGGAGAGCAGTCTATGCTGGAATGGGGATTGTAGAGATGTGATGACCAGTGGTCCAGGAAGGCTTCCTGGAGGAAGTGCATTTCTGGTGGGACAATCACAGAAGAGATGAAGAGTCCTTTGTCCATGTCAAAGTTGAGATACCTCTGGGACAGAATGGTGGGGATGTCAAAGTGGGACTGGAGCTAAGTGAGAGGGCAGAAAGAGGACTATAAACTCAGGTGTCATCGGAGTAAGAAGGTAACAGAGATGCCCTGGTCCTGGATGAGGGCCCTGGGGAGAGATTATAGAGAGAGGTGGCCCACAACTGGACACTGGACATCCTGCATAGGTTGTCCAAGAGAGGAGATGCAGCCAGGGGCATGGGAGAGACCCTGGGTGAGTGAGGGGCTCAGGGGGGAGGGATGGGGGCATTGAAAGCGGCTGGTGACCCTGAGGTTAGGGAACTAGAGGCTCCTAAGGCCTTGGCCACCTGAACATGAGGGTTTCATTGGAGCAATGGGATGGGAGCCCAACTGGAGAGGATCAAAGGAGTGAGGCAAGGCAAAGGGGAGAATGGTGAGCATGGACAGTACTGGTGAAGTCTTACAGGAAATGCACCGACGCTGCAGGGAGATGTGGAGTCCAGGGACGCTCATTGAAGGAGGTGGGGCAGAGAATGATTGGGAAAAACCCAGTGAAGCTGGCAAAGGGTAATGCAAGACACAGAGGCAAGCCTATAGAAGGTGGGTGGCAACGCGTCTCTGGGGAGTGTTTTAAGGGTCTGCTTCTAAGTGCTGGGCCCCCTGGATCCAAGCTGGACAAGGAGACAGGGGCTGGAGTGGAGGCAACGAAGAAAGAACCGTGGCAGTAGGGTTACTGAGTGCAGGAAGGGGTGCCCAGGGGAAGACATGTTCTGAACGGAGATGCCGAAGGTTACCTCCCTATTGGTGGTGAGCTGGAGGATGGGTGGCTGATGTGGGGGCAGGGGGAGGTGGTTGTCTGTGAGGAGAACCGGGGGGAGAGGGGGGCACCCGGGGGATGTGGGATGCTGTTGGGATTGGGAAAGAAGAGAGAAACTCCAAGAGTTAAGCTTTCTGTGAACAAAACAGGAGGATGGCTGGACCAGCTATCAAGAGGTTACATGTGGGTAGGGGGGTGGCTGGCTGTGCCTTAAAGAGAGGTCCAGAGTCAGGGGGAGCCTGTGCGATTGTCCCAATGTCTCTTCTAGAATGAAGTTGGTTGGGGAGGAACCAGAGGCATCCATTCCTTCCAGGCATGCTCACCCCAGAATTCTAGCTGGGAGAGGCCGGGCTATGGCCCTCCACATACCTACCTGGTGGCGCCTGATGTGTGAGCACGCACATCACACATGTATATGGCCACGGGCTCACAAGTTCCCATCAGCACATGGCACTAAGCTCCCTACATGCATCACCTAATTTGACTGTTTTGCTGTATTCAGTCCTCTCCCTTTTTTCTGCACTGTGTGTCATCTTTTGCCTAGATAGTGCTTCCTCCATGAAGCCTCCCTTGATTTCTTGATCAGAATCAATTACTGGAGTCTCCTACTGCCCCTACCTTTCCATATTATGATTGTCTGGTTGCTGCCTGCTGCTCCAGGGTCTTTGGTTTCTGCTGAGTGGCCCCACTGCCAACGCACAGGGCTTGACACAGTGGGCAGCTTTAGGACCTCCTGCAGTTCCCTCTTCGTCCAGTAGGTGGCACAAGATGCTCGTGGCTGAGCCCATTGATCTGAGGTATCAAGGGTACCCTCGGAGTCTGTTTTCCAACTTACAGCCAGCAAGCATTGGCCTTCACAGAAGATCCTTACCCCCTTCCCTGACTGGGAAAATGAGGCCCAAAGAGGGAGAAGACCTGCCCGAGGCCATACAACAAGTTAACAGTAGGCCTGGGGCTCCCAGCCCCCGCCACAGGCTGTTTTTCTGCAGTGTGGAGTGGCCTGCCCTGTGCATCCTGCTCCGATAGACCTGGGTCTCCCTGCAGCTGCAGCTGGGTGCCTAGCTAAACTGAGACCCCCAGGGTGAGCTGGCTGACTGAGGAGCTGTGGGCCGGAGGCCCACAGCTGGTGGCCACATGCTAGATGAGAGGCTATGTCCAACCCAATCTTCAGCCAGACGTTGGCCCCCAGCCCGGTTTTCAGGCTGAAACATCTCCCCAGGGAGATAGAGGCAGAGGGGCTCCAGCCTTCTGAGGGCTCATGACATAATCACCACCATGGCAGGCCCTGAACAAGCACACCTCACTCGTATAGAGCCTGTTACACCCAAGGTGGCTGCTCCCTGCCCACGGAAGGAGACTGAGGCCCAAAGAGGGAAAGGCTTTAGCCAAGTTTCTCCAAGGAGCCAGAGGCTGGGTGGGCTGACACTAGTCCCTGGCCTCCCTGAGAAATAGCTTGCCCAATGCCAGGAGACATTGCATATGCCCTGGGAAGAGGCATATATGTATTATGGGGAGATGGAGACAGGGAGACAGGGTTCCAGGTCCCTGGGTCATTCTCATGCTGACTCTAGGAGCCAACCTGTTTCCCTTGCAGGGATGAGATGGGGGTGGGGGAGACAGGACCCCAGTACTCCAGGAGCCCCAGAAGATAAAGAGAGTCACAGGAAGGCCCAGGGCTGAGCAGAGTCTGTTCTCAGCCTGCTGTGTGGCCTGAGCCAGGTCCTTCCCTCTCTAATGCCCCCAAGTTTCCTGACCACTATCTAAGGGCTCAGGCTCGCCCACCTGGGAGACCTAATTTGCAGGAGTTTCTAGAATCCTTGGAGCTCCAACTCCAGCTGAAGTTTGAAATCTTAGTGCCTAGAGCCTCAGATCTGAGTAAAGGGCTCTGGGGTGGAGTACTGTGGGTGAGGGGCTGCAGAGACAGGAGCTGCTGTGGGATGGGGGGCATAGGGAGGTCCCCTTACTTACCCCTACTCAACCCCTCAGCCTTGTGTCTCCCTTGTCCGGCTTCTGTGGCTCTCCTGCCCTGAATCGGTTTTCAGGCTAGAGGGAGTAAGGGTGTGAGCACGCTACCTCCACCTTCGCCCCAAAGGGATCGTGTGTGTGTAGGGTCTGAGTGCAGAGGGGAACTCTGGAAAGAACCCACCACTCACCTGGTGACATTCTGGGCCCTGGAGCTCTGGTGGGCCTGGAGGGCTGAGGGACACAGCAATGGGAGAGTTCCCTAGCATGAAGTGGATCCTGTCCTCTGCCCCAGTGAGCTGGGATGGGGCCTGGAGACCAGACAGGGACAGGCCTGGGTGGAGGAGGCTAGGCTCATCTTTTGCCAACCTCAGATCTATGAAGTGTAGCCAGACTTCCAGCCCCCACCCAAAGCATGGAGTCCCTTGGACTGGAATGACCCTCCCAGGCAACTTGGGCCCTGCCAAGGGAGCTGGGGAGCCAGGCCAGTGCTTCAGGGGGCTGGACCTTCCTGGTATCAGGGATCTGGGCCCAGAGTCAGTTTGTCTTTATCATGGAGACTGTCACGGGCAATGGAAGGACAGGGAACAAAGAAGAGCCCAGCTAGACCTCTAGCCAGCCCACCAACCTCTGATCTCTGACCCCTGACCTCCCTTCCAGGCTATCTCTGGAGACTTGGGTTTGTGAACATTTTGTGTAAGCCGCCCACACCCCAGCTGGGAAAGAGTCTCCCCAATGGGGAGCCTGCCAATCTGACACAGAGGCATTAACCAGGCCAGCCCGGGTGGAGAGAGAAGCAGCAGGTGGATGGCAGGGGCCCCTCCCCCATCTCCTTCCCTCCTCCTCCCACCTCCCTGGCCCTACAGGGGGTGGAGCCGCTGCCTTATAAGTGTCAGGCCTGGCGGCAACGGAGCAAACTGCAACCAGCAGCGGACTGAGGGCGGCTCTGCTGGGCAGCGTGGTGCCCTTGGTTCCCCAGCATGGCCCCCTCGGCCTGGGCCATCTGCTGCATGCTGGGGGGACTCTTGCTCCTCGGGGGCAGCCCCAGCCCCGGCCCCAGCGTGCCTCGCCTGCGGCTCTCCTACCGAGGTAGGGGCAGTGCGCGCCCTGTTCATGTGCGCGTTTGTGGGACCCTGGGACTCTGTGACATCCCCAGCTGGGGGGGCCCCAGCTAGCCCTGGGCAATCTCTTCCGCCAGCCAGAGGTCACTTCCACACAGCACAGACTGTGGGAAGGACTTCACGGAGGTGGTTCTCCAGCTGAGTTGCCACCAGAGGCAGGAACTGGGGAGGAGGACCAGGGGCAGGGGCAGGTCCCAGGAGGGTGGAGGTGGGAGAGACAGAGACACAGGGGACAACCTGAGGGGGCTTCTGAGAAAAGGAGAGGGGCATGGAGACCCTGAGAGGCCTCCTTAGAGATGGGCAGGGAGAGATGGGGAGGGATGGAGAGGACAGGTCTGCAAGATCCTGAGGTGTGCACTCAGCCTGGGCTCCTTGCCCGGGGTGGGCAGTGAGAAGCAAGGCAGCAGCCTGTGGTGGGGGCCCTCACTCTATCTCCACAGCCTTGCCCCCTCTGCCTCTTGCAGCCCACTTCACAGTGCTGGCCTTTGTTCTTCCCTCTCTGTCCCAGAGGCTCTTCACAGCCCAGCAGTGATTTCAGCCTCCTCTCTCTCTGCCCATCCTGGCCCGGTGGGGGGCGGGGGGCGGTCCTCAGCAGACCTAACCTGATATGCTGTGCTGTAGCTGGCACAGTCTGTGGAGAGGGTCCCCAGGAAAGGTCCCTGAGACATAGACTCTCCATGATTCTTCTTCTTGGGGAAACCAGAGGGGTGACCACCTTCCCCTGGGCACCCCAATCCAAGTGGAGAGACCCAGGCCTGCTCCGGGGACAGAGGGGGGAGACGTGGCTCCACTCTGGAGAGTGTAGCTGGCTCTGGGGGCAGAAGGTGGTCTTGCCCTGGGAGCTATGGTTTGGGGGGGAAAGTAAAAAAAATAAAGCCCAAATAGGGCAAATCCCCTCTAAAGTACTGTCAGTCATGGAAGGCTTCCTGGAAGAGGCTGTTGATGAGTTTGGGGGTGGAGTGGGTGCTGGGCTTGCCACCTTGGATGGGTATCCTCTGAGCAGGCACAGGGTAGCCGGCCTTCCCAAGGGTAGCCAATGCTCATTCCCACCATATCCTTCTGCCTGCCCGCTTGACCACCTGTTACCTCCACCTCCCTAGCCAACCCCCAAGGACCTATTTCATGATCCTTGGCTCCTGGGACCAGCATCCCCAGCCAGCCACCCCCAACCCCCTGCGTCTGGGAAGGCAGTGTCTATGGAGGAGAAAGTCTTCCTTCATCACATCCCTGGATCAGAGCCTTGAGCTCTGCCTGGCCATACCTGACCTTTCCCATACCCAGGCCTTTGCCAGGTGTTCTCTCTGCTGGGAATGCTCTCCCCTGTCTGTCCGCTTGTCCCACTGAGTCAGCCTTGCACACTGCTCAGACTAACCCACCCTTCCTCCAGGCTCTTCCAGCACTTTGCTCAGCTTGCTACCGTAAGTTCTGACAGCAGGGCCAGCAGGGTCATCTTCCTTGGGGACTGGGTAGGGCACAGATGGGCCTGTGGGAAGGATATGTTAACTGAAGGATTAAGGGACCAAGGAATGGAGTGGTAGGAAGCAGGGCTCAGGGCCCCCCTGTCCCACCCACCCCCAGGAGGCAATTCTCAGAAGCCCTCCAGCGGGCCTATGGATGGAAACATTTTCCAGATGTGAGTGGGGGAGGCGGTGGTGAGGGGCGGTGAATGCACAGCTGGGACCTTCTACCTCCACACCTTAGCTGGAGAAGTGGGCTGAGCAGTAGGCACTGACTACCCTTGCTCCCTCCTAGATCTCCTGTCTGCCAACCGTTCTGCTGTCTTTCTGGGTCCCCGGGGCTCCCTGGACCTTCGGGCCATGTACCTGGATGAGTACCGGGACCGCCTTTTTCTGGGGGGCCGTGATGCCATCTACTCTCTGCGGCTGGATCAGTCATGGCCGGATCCCCGGGAGGTGAGCTGGACTGACAGAGGGGAGGGTCTGTCTGAGAGCTAGGAGGCCAGATGGTGAAACTGAGGCTGTGAGGTCAGGAGTCAATTAGGCTGTGTTTCAGGTCCTGTGGCCACCACAGCCAGGACAGAAGGAGGAGTGTGTTCACAAGGGAAGAGATCCTTTGGTGAGTGCTGTCAGAAGTGACTGACCCCCAGCCCTGACCAACACCCAGGTCTTGACCCCCAGGATAGCCTGTAGCCACTCCCCCAGGTGCTTACACTAGGGGCATTTGGAGCAGATCCTGAGGGCTCTTGAAGGTCTGTGAAGAATGTCATCCCCACCCTAGATCTCCAGAGCTGATCAGCCAGGCAGGGCTGAGCCTTGGGGCCCAAGGAGATGGTAAACACCCCCTCATCCCCTCCACCCCGCCCCTTCTCCCTGCTAGGTGGAGTGCGCCAATTTTGTGCGGGTCCTACAGCCCCACAACCGGACCCACCTGCTGGCATGTGGCACTGGGGCCTTCCAGCCCACCTGTGCCCTCATCACAGTTGGGCATCGTGGGGAGGTGAGCCTGGGGCAGGCCCCACAAGGGACTGGGAAGCAGTGACATTTCCTCCCTGCTGTCTGAACGCTCCTCATTGAGCCTGGCTTGGGGCAGAGGGGTCAGGGGCCTGAAAGGCATCTTTGTGCCAGGCTGACCCCTTTGGCGAGGCCCTGAATGAGGGCGCCTTCTGCCCACCCCCACTCTCATCGCTGCACGCGATGGCCACTACCCGGGCGGGGGGCTGGTGCTGCTTTCCTAGGTGACACCCTTCCCTCCCTTCCTCCCTCTCGGGCAGCACGTGCTCCACCTGGAGCCCAGCAGTGTGCAAAGTGGGCGGGGGCGGTGTCCACATGAGCCCAGCAGTCCCTTCGCCAGCACCTTTGTAGGTGGGTGATGCCCAGGCCCGGGCGGGCACAAGGAGGGGGGTAGCCTGCCGATGTCCTTGGGAAGCAATGGGGCCAGCTATGGGGCCTGGCCCTCCTCCCTTGATTCTGCCCCACCCTCACCCAGGTGGGGAGCTGTACACGGGCCTCACGGCTGACTTCCTGGGGCGCGAGGCCATGATCTTCCGGACTGGGGGTCCCCGACCAGCTTTACGTTCTGACTCTGACCAGAACCTCCTTCACGGTGAGCCCAGGGTCTGCCCAGGGCAGGGCTGGCTGGGATCTGCCCCTGGCAGCAGCAGGGAGTTAGGAGAGCTGGCACTGAAGTGGGGATGGCCCAACCCTACTCTACTCCCTGGGACCCCAGCCTCCCGTGGGGTCCCTGTGCCTCTTGCCCTCCATGCTGGGTTCAGCAACGTCCCCATCCTCCCCCGTATGGCGCCCCCCCACCAACCAGCTGCACCCTGTTACCTCCCAGACCCCCGGTTTGTGATGGCCGCCCGGATTGCCGACAACTCTGACCAGGATGATGACAAGGTGTACTTCTTCTTCTCGGAAACTGTGCCCTCGCCCGATGGTGGCCCAGGCCGTGTCACGGTCAGCCGCGTGGGCCGTGTCTGCGTGGTGAGAGCTGTGAAGAGGCGGTGAGGTTCAGATCCTCACCGCACCCCCTTCCTACGCCCATCCCCACCAGCGGCAGAGGGAAACTGAGGCAAGGGTGTGAAGCCAACATCCAAGCCTCTGCCTGCAAGGGTGAGGGTGGAGGAACAGGAGGGGGCCCCGCCCCCTAGGGCTCAGGGCTGATTCTGGCCTTCCACCCCCAGAATGACGCCGGTGGCCAGCGAGTGCTGGTGAACAAATGGAGCACCTTTCTCAAGGCCAGGCTGGTGTGCTCAGTGCCTGGCCCTGGTGGTGCCGAGACCCACTTTGACCAGCTGGGTGAGGGCATGGCCGGAGGCAGGCCTGGGTGTGGGTGCGGAGGGCTCAGAGTCAGTGAGCGGGGGGCATTGACTGTGGCCCTCTGTCTCCCAGAGGATGTGTTCCTGCTGTGGCCCAGCGCAGGGAAGACCCTTGAGGTGTACGCCCTGTTCAGCACAGTCAGGTGGGCGCATGGGCCTCCCCTCACACCCCCACCCCTGGTTCCAGTCTCTGCACTCCTAGCGTCCTCTGCTGAGCCTCTGCTTGCGTGTCCCAACTTTACCGTGGGTCCCTGTCTCTGTCTCCGACTCAATAACTCTGAGGCTCTGTGTCTATCTCCCTCTCTTTGTCTCTGCCTGGGTGTCCTCATTTTTCAGTCTCTGTTGACTTCAGGCACCATCATCCTCTGTCCTGTCCATGGATAGGTTGCCCCCTCCCCACCTGTGACAGCCACCCTGGCCTGACTGTCCCTGTCCGCCCTTGGCAGTGCTGTGTTCCAGGGCTTTGCCGTCTGTGTGTACCACATGGAGGATATCTGGGAGGTCTTCAGGGGACCCTTTGCCCACCAAGATGGTCCCCAGCACCAGTGGGGACCCTATGGGGGCAAGGTGCCCTTCCCTCGCCCTGGAGTGGTGAGTATCTGCCTGGAAGCCAGGCCAGGGAAGAGGGCTGAGCCGATACCAGAGGGACCGTACCTTGGGATGACCTTGTGGTTGAGCTGGGACTCCAGGGGAGCCAGGTGGGGTAAGGAGGGGAGCAGAGCCCTGCCACATTAAGGAGTCTCTGCTATAGCAAGAGCAGTCCCCCCAAGGTGGGCATGCCCAGCAGTGGGGCCTGGAAACAGGCTGGGGTGGGGGATGTGCGGCCCCAGGATGTTTCAGGTGCTCCCTTTGCTGCCGCTCACAGTGCCCCAGCAAGATGACAGCGCAGCCAGGACGACCCTTTGGCAGCACCAAGAACTACCCAGATGAGGTGCTGCAGTTTGCCCGAGCCCACCCACTTATGTTCTGGCCCGTGCGGCCACAGCAGGGCCGCCCTGTCCTTGTCAAAACGCACCTGGCCCAGCAGTTGCGCCAGATCGTGGTGGACCGCGTGGAGGCAGAGGACGGGACCTACGATGTCATCTTCCTGGGGACTGGTGGGTGGGCTGAGTGGGGTGGACAGGCTGGGGAGGTGTGCCTCTGGTTGGGGGGTGGGGCAGGCCACTCCTTCTTCTCCCACTGATCCCTCCCTCCTGCCCTGCCCCAGACTCGGGCTCCGTGCTCAAGGTCATCGCCCTCCAGGGTGGGGCTTCCACTGAGTCCGAGGAGGTGGTTTTGGAGGAACTCCAGGTGTTTAAGGTGAGTGGGGTCTTGGGAAAGGGGGAACTGATGGGAGGGGTCCCCTCCAGCTCCACTGCTGGGTCTAGGCCTGGCCACGGGGACAGAGGAGCAAAATACAAGGAGATAGGCCTGTCTTTACTGAACCTGCAGCCAGTGGGAAGTGCAAGTGAGACACTGGCTGCCGCAGGGCCTTGCTCATGCGTTTATCTGGCTGTGGGGCCCAGAGAAAAGTAGGAGGGCCCAGGGAGGTGCGTCCAAGGTGATCACCCCTTGACAAAGCCCTGCCAGGCTCAAGCAACAGTGAGGGGGTGGCTGAGACCCCAAGTCCCCACGGGGTTCTGTTGGCCCCCCAACTACAGAGCGAGGCAGGGCATCACGTGCATCTGGGGGACTGCTGTGCTCCCAACATGGGATGGGTGATGTGGGACAGCTGCCTCATTGCTGGAGAGCAGGGCTGTGGGAGGGGACACTGGAGCTTTGTGCTCCTTGGAGGCCAGCCAGGGTGAGGGGACGTTTCTAATAACCCGACGTCTGGGAAAGACCGTCTGGCCTTAGTTGCCAGGTTGCGCACTGACCCAGGCTGGGAGATAGGTGGCTCCCATGCAGGGGCTGGAGGAGGCCGAAAGCAGGGATGCAGCGGAGGTCTGGCCCCAACCCACCCATCCCTGAGACCCTGCTCCTTCCCCAGGTGCCGACACCCATCACTGAGATGGAGATCTCTGTCAAAAGGGTAAGAGCAGCTGCCATCCCTCCCTCCTTCTCCCTTTAACCCCTCACCTGAAGCTCTGAGCAAGGCCGCTTTCCAGAAGGTGCTGCAACAGGCCCTGGGGATGCCTGATTAGGCCTTGCAATGAGGCTTGAGGGTCCGGTGGGGAGCTGAGATCCCACGCATGAAACCAGTGGGCAGTGGGAATCCTGAGTAAGTGAGACTGTGTTCAGATAAGGGGAGAGCCACAAAGGCCAGTCCCTCTGGGGAGACAGAAACATGCTTGGAAACAAAATCCGGAATTTTTTTATGGAAAAAAAATTTTTTAATGTTTATTTATTTTTTTTTTTTTTGAGAGAGAGAGAGAGAGAGAGAGACTGAGCATGGGTCAGGGAGAGGCAGAGAGAGAAGGAGACACCGAATCCAAAGCAGCTCCAGGCTGTCAGCACAGAGCCTGATGCGGGGCTCGAATACACAGACCTTGAGATCATGACCTGAGCCAAAGTTGGCCACTCAACCTACTGAGCCACCCAGGCACCCCCATAATTTAAATCAAATAGGGGAGAGCCACTTTTTAGAGGCCTGCTATGTCCTTTTGCAAGTGGCAAAATCTCCTCAAGTTATTCTGCCCCAGTTTATCTTTGGGTAAATCCCAACTTTTGTATTAGGATTGCTTGAGGCAGAGTGCACCTCTAAGGTCAGAGGCAAGTCAGGATAAAGGTTATTGAGGTTGAGGGCAAAAGTCAGCAGCAGGAAGGGCCTGGATAAACCCCTTAGAGAAGAGCCCCCCAGGTCTGCCCCGTGCCTTCCTTCCGTGTCCTAGAACAGGATCTGGTGCATATCAGGTGGGTGATCAACATTTTTGGTTTCTGGGGATACATCCAAGAGGTTCTGGAAGACTGCCTGAAAATGGTGGGGGTCTCAGGAAGCCCAAGAGGGCCAAGAGCCTAGTTGCTTCTAGGTGGGGCCCAGGCTCACCTTGGCTCTGCTTGTGTCCCCCCCAGCAAATGCTGTACGTGGGCTCGAGGTTGGGCGTGGCTCGGCTGCAGCTGCACCACTGTGAAACCTACGGCAGTGCCTGTGCTGAGTGCTGCCTTGCCCGGGACCCATACTGTGCCTGGGACGGTGCCTCCTGTACCCGCTACCGGCCTGGCACCAGCAAGCGCCGGTTCCGCAGGCAGGACATCCGGCATGGCAACCCTGCCCTGCAGTGCCTGGGGGAGAGCCAGGAAGGTGAGTGGTGGCAGGCATGGGGGCCCCTCCTCACCCCTCTGGCCTGGGCTCAACCCCTGCAAAGTGTGGTCTCAGGCTGGTCCTGTTTTAACACCCAGCCCTCAGTTTTCCTACATGTGCAGCTCCTGTCAGTATACTGGGGAAGGAAGGGTCTTTGGACAGAATGAATGGCTTGGGGATTGATGGACACTTAGGTCCTTGTCACACTGGTGGGGGCCCTGGGGGCCCACAGTACTGAGCCAAGCCCCCCTCCACCTCCCTCCAGACGAGGCTACAGGCCCCGTGGCGGCCACCACAGTCTACGGCACGGAGCACAACAGCACCTTCCTGGAGTGCCTGCCCAAGTCTTCCCAGGCTGCTGTGCACTGGTTCTTGCAGAGGCCAGGGGGTCAGGGACCCGACCAGGTGAGCAAAGACCTTGCCTCCAACCTGCACATGTCCTGATCTCACATCCCTCCCTGACCCCAAGTCCTGATCTCTAGGAAGGGGCTCTAGGGGGAACCTGCCAAGGTCAACTGAAGAAAAGTGTGCATTAAGTGCCTGCAGTGCCTGGAAGGAGGTACCCCTCTTCCTGCCTCCAGGAATGCCCAGGCCAGACGTGGCTGCAACCCTTCCTGTGACAGAGAGCCCACTAACTCCCAGGCACTGAACTGAGCTCTGGGAGGTGGGTAGTAGAGATGGAAGAGAGTCTGGTCTAGTCAAGAAGCCCCCCAGGCTCACACATATGGCTCATCTTTGCAGGCGTCTCTTTCCCATGGGTTCTTGGTTCTCCTCTGCCCCAGGGTGGTGCCTAAACCACTGAAACTTGCACACACACACACACACCCTTACACACATACCCACTGCCTAGCCCCACACTTCCTCCCTGGAGTCCAGCTGTCTGCCCAGGCCCTCTCCTCCCCCATCCGGAAAAGTCTGTCAACCCCAGAAATGGCTTTAGTCTGGGGCCTGATGAGGGCGTGGGTGGGGCAGGGTGAGGAACCATTCTCCAGCCTCTCTCAGGGGCAGAGAAGGGGAGGGAGTGCCTTGGTTACAGGAGGGGCTCTCCTTCCAGCTTGGGAACTGGGGGAGGCCAGCTTTGGGCCAGCTGTTGGGCTAGGCACGAGGAGCACGCCCCCAGGGGGCCAGGCACAGGGAACAACAAGATGGTTACACAATACTTACCGCCCAAGCAGTCCCGCCTCAACGTACAGATGTGCAGACATCCAGGTGGGATCAGAGCAGCGCTCCTGCCTCCCGCACTGTGATGGGCACTCAGCCCACCCCTGGTTGGGGGACTGAACAGTGCAGACAAGGACAGGGAAGAGAGAGAGAGAGAGAGAGACAGAGACAGAGAGAGAGAGAGAGAAAGGAAAGTGGAGGGGACTTCTAGTCCTAGGGCTATGGGTATAGCCCTCCCTGAATAAAAACCCATAAATACCCCTCTGCCCACTCTATCCCCAGGGACCATGTGGCAGGGCTCCCTAAGGCCAAGGTAGGTGCCACAGAGCTCTGACTAGGGGAGAAACCAGTCAGTGAAATCTTTGAAAAGCCTCCTTTGCAGGCCCTGTCCTGGGTTATAGGAAGGTGAGACCCTGCCTGCAATTGGCTCACAGTGCTGAGCCAGCCTGGGAAGGAGAGATGGGGAGGGGAAATGCTTAAGCACCAGGTCCTGAAATGCGAAGTTGGAAAAGCAGGGAGAGTAACTGATGTTGTGTGCGCCCTACTCCATGTCCCCCTCATCCCCTCCCCCACCCCCCACAGGTAAAGACAGATGAGAGAGTCCTGCAAACAGAGCAGGGGCTGCTGTTCCGCAGACTCAGCCACCTGGATGCGGGCATCTACACCTGCAAGACACTGGAGCACGGCTTCTCCCAGACTGTGGTCCGCCTGGCTCTGGAGGTGATTGTGGCCACACAGCTCAACGGCCTGTTTCCTCGGGATCCAAGGCCAGAGGAGACCCCAGGCTGGGGAGGCCTGGCCTCCACCCCCTCCAAGGCCTGGTATAAGGACATCCTGCAGCTCATCGGCTTCGCCAACCTGCCCCGGGTGGACGAGTACTGTGAGCGCGTGTGGTGCCCTTCCAGGAGCCGGGGCAAACAGGCCAAGGGCAAGAGCTGGGCAGGGCTGGAGCTGGGCAAGAAGGTGAAGAGCCGGGGGCAGACCGAGCGCAATCGGACGCCCCGGGAGGTGGAGGCCACATAGAAGAGGGTGGAGGAGAGGGTGGTCGGGATGGACCAGGTGGCCCAGCAACCCCCAGAGTCTCCCACCCACCCAGCTAGGGCTAAGGGGAGGGGGGCAGCATGCCTGACTGCCTCTTAGAGGCGGGAGTCTCTGCCCCCCATACTTCTACCAGGCTGCCCACAGGAAAAGCTGGGGCTTGATGGAGGGCCCTGTGTCCAAGGCCTGTTCCTGCCCCTCTGTGCTCTCAGTCCTAGGCTGGAGCCAGCACCCTCTGTCTGCTGCCAACCCCAGTGGGCCTGCTGTTTGTTTTCAGACATGGTCCCCAGAGCACATTTCCGGCTGTGCCCGGAGGTGAGAGGTCTGGGTGGTTCTTTCCCAGCCAGCAGAACAATGGCCATCCTGAATGACCCTTGGAGTGGGCGTTTGGGTGCGTCTGAGGAGGTGTCTGGGCAAGGGGCCCTTAGGCAGCCAGAGGAGGATGGAAGTTGCCTCTATGCTAGCACCCATTCAGAGGACCTACTGTGAGTTGGGGCAGGGAAGGGGAGGGGCAGAGAAGGTGGAACAGCAAGCCCCTCCCCCCACTTGGGGTGGCTCCCTGCCACTGCCCACCACTTCTTCTCCATGACAGAGTCATAGAAGCATTGACAGCCAGAGCTCCCTGGGCCCCTGGTCTGAGTCTCAGGCACTACTTCATAAACCAAGCAGTGTCTCTACAGCCTGACTTCTCTTCCCCAGACCCCAAGCTGCCAGGCCAGATTTCCTGGGATGCCCAGACCTCTGATGGGAGTCCCCCTCCCCACCATCAGGGGCTGCAAGCTGATGAAGGGAGAGGGTAGGTTCTAGGAGGATTCTAGGTTCTGTGGACTAGAGATGGGGAGAGGGGAGCGGGGGAAGTATGGGGCAGGAGGGGGGGCTGTCTCTCACTGGGTGGTACAAGAATGCTCACAGCTGGGGAGGGAGGGAATGTGGCAGCTCCCCGAGTAAGCTACAGCTGGTGGGCAGGCACAGGCCCAGGGCTTTGCCAGGGCCACAGAGGGTTGAGACACTTCTGAGGTGGGGAGAGGGTGAGACCCCCCAGGATGGGCTATGGGACCCCAGGCAGGCATTCTCAAGAACCCAGGATAGCATCAATTAGCTCAGGAGCCACAGGGGAAACCAGATGTTTCCCCTCTGGGATCGTTGGTTTCTGTTAAATAATGGTTGGTTATAAATGGTTTCATTTATGAAGATTTTCTCTCTTAAGGGAAGAAAATAGAAGGAAAAAAAGCTGCTAAATCCTGCTTGTTCTTGGAGGTGAGGCTCAGGTGGCCAGGATGCATTTTGTCTGGGTGTGTAGGGAGGTGTTTTTGCCAACAGCAGGGATGTGTTTCTTGGGCTGGGGAGCACAGAGGGGGAGGAGAAGGAGGACTAAATGAAAAGTCATTCCCAGACTGCATATGAGCAAGTTAATGACGCACAAAACTGACAGGAGGGGACAAGAGCATCAGGTTTGAGATTCCCTCCATGAGAAAAACTAAGGTGAAGAAAGGAGGGGGAAAAACAGATAAAAAAGCAGGACAGGGTTTCCTGCTCCACTGAACTCAAACCCAGACTGTACATCTACCTTGGATTTTACCTGAGTCACCCCACCACGCCCAGAGAACTGGGATCCAAAATAGGCCCCCTTTCCTCTTTGACTTCACAGTAAGTTAACCAGAGGCATGGAGATTAACCTTGGGAAGCCTCAGGTTTGGGGTTGCTGTGGCTGGGAAGTCAGCAGGTAAAAGCAAAGGAGAGGACTGTGGGGGTAGGGGGCTGGAGAAGGGCATGGAGGGGGAGGTAGAGGCCATGGAAGAGGGAGAGGAAAGAGCACAGAGCCCTGGGAATGGGTGTATAGAGCTGCAGCCCCTCTATCCCAGCAAAGTCAGGAAGAAATGACCAGCCAGGCTCTCAGTGGCCTCTAGGTTGGACCCAGGCATGGCTGGCTCCAGGCAGGGTTCTCTGGGGAAGTTACTCTAGATAATGGAGGAGGAGCTCAAAATCCAGAACAACGAACATCTGCACTTAGAAAATTATGGACAGTTTCTGCCAACTCCCCACACCTCCCACCCCCATGGTACTGTGTGTTATTGACTCCTGGAAATGCTTCTATGTGTGAATTCTATTTTTATATTGGTATGTTGAGATCAGCCTTGTGGTTTTGTCTTCAGAGCACACTTCTTGTAATTACTATTGTTACTTTTATTGTCATGACTGCCTCTGTGCTTTGATGAGGATATGAGGTAGTCTACCGCACAGACCTATAAGGAAAGCGATGGAGTTAATATTTACATCACATAATTATATCATTATTGTATCTCTGTATTTTTCTGTTCTAAATTGATGGATGCCATCTGTGTGAGCTGGAAATGAAGAGCCTTTCCATCCACTCCAGGATGGCCACCCTCGGAGATATGTTCTAGGAGGGAGGGAGATGGGCATGAGGGGAAGGAAGGAGTCAAAGGGCTTTGTCTAGGAAACTGAGATTGCTTATTAAGTTAGGAAACTCCTGTCCCTCAGGCTTCTGAGACTGACCTTCTTGGGCTTCAGGAAGACCTTGAGTCCGAAAAAAGTGCTGGCAAAGGGCAGCTGGGCACGTAGGCAGCCCTGCTCCTTTTCCACAGTAACACTTGACATTCGTGACAGCAATACTTGGCCTGGTGCCTGTCTTCCTCGCAAGTCACATACCAACATATATTAAGGCCCCTGTGCTCTTGCCTGGGGTGCTAGGCTGTGCTGTGGGGGCTGCAGCTTCTGAGGAGGACGGGAGGTCTGGTTGAGCTGCCTCCGAGGCCGCCACTGACCACAGCTCTCACTCCCCCAGCGATGCCATGCCCCTGCACGAAGAACAGAGCCCGCTGGTGCTGGAGGGAGATGGGAAAAGGCAGGGAAGGTTTGAAGATGGGAGGGACATCACCTCACCTTGCCAGGGAGACGAACCCCTTGTTTGCCTGGGCCCCTCAATCCATACTATAGAGTAGAGAGGCTTAACAAGTCAGTCACCAGACCCCTCTCGCAGCGCTGGAGCAGGGCCCCTCCTTTTGTCCCCTGGACCTGACAGAATTGAACCGGTATGTCCTGCCCCAAGCCACCTGAGAAGCATCATGGGCACCCATTTGGTGCTGAGCGTGGGGTTGGGAAGGATGTGAGAACTTGACCTCCACAGTCCCTTCTCCCCCCAGGCCACAGAAGCTGTGTTCCTACCTTCCCACCCCTAGAGTCTGGACTTTTCCCTCTCAGCCTCTCATCTTGAGTCCTATTTCCTGCCTCAAGGGCTTCCCTCTCACTCCTTCTGGCAGCTTTTTCCTCAAAGTCTCATACCTCCCCTAGTCTTGGGTCTGTGTCATGATTTCCCAAACAGGTTTAGTGCTGGAAAGGGGCTTGGAGAAAGACACAGGACAAGCATTTTCCAAAATGGTGTCCTATGGAACATGAGATCCTCTGTGACAAGGGTCAAATAAATACGGGGATTTCTGTCCCTTTAGCCCCCGCGGAATTGCTGTGTGCTGCCTGTTTGCCCTGTGAAATCCCCAAGAAGCCACAGTGATCTCTCATTAATTTGCATGTCTGTCATGAGCTACATGATTCTCCTAAACCTGGGTCCTCTATCCCCTTTTTCCCATCAGGTCATCACCACTTCGTGTTTCTAATGTTTTGAAGCATACTTTGGGAAAATGCTGATTTGATTAATTCATTCCTTCCTTGGCCATGTGAAATTAATTTATTAATCTCTGTTTTCTAAGCCTGTAAACACTGAAGGCCCTGCCCCAACCCCCCCAAGTCGAATAGCCACATCTTGGCTTCCTATGGGAGGCACTGGAGCAGGACCCACCACCCTAGGGCCAGGGCAGCCAAGCCACCAGTCTGCTGGCCCTTGGGCTTGGCCTCTGCCCATCCTCCCACACTCAGTATGCCTCAGCAGCCCACTTCCTGGCAAGGTCCTCTATTGATGGCTAGGGTTCACCCCAAGCCTGTGGCTGTCCAGCAGTCTAATACACTCACTTCTAAGGGAGGGAGCAGAATAGGGGAGGGAAACAGCTCTTTTCACTTTCTCAGATGGCTTCCTTGCACTCAGCCAAACCCAGGTCAGCTTCTAGACACCCCCTTGAATCCTCCAGTTGGAGGAGGAGTCAGGCAGCAGCCATCAGGATCCAGGCTATCCTCTCCATGGGCTGGTAGGGGCCCCAGATGCAGCTAGAGGGGGATGGGTAAAGTGGGGTGAGCAGGGAACTCACTCACATCCCTCTGCCAGTCCAGCACACTGAGGCCTCTCTAGCCAGCCACATCTCCTTCTTAGAGCTAGGAGACAGTTGCTCAGAAACAGCCTGATTTCCATCCTAATTAGGGATCCACCCCAGCCTTCCCCAAGTGCTGGTTCTCAGGGGCTCCCCAAAGAGAAGTTTCAGCACACACTAAGATCAAATCTCCAGGGTTTTCTGAGACTACAAACTTGGCCCTGGTGTAGGGAGAGAGCGAGTGGGTGGGGCTAGGTTTCCATACAATTCCTGACTAGGATCTCAAGGATTGTTGGGCCCCTGCCCTGGCTTCTCTTCCAGATTCACCCACCCCCCCTGATGAACAGGAGATGAGGCAACAGCAGCTGTGGCCCCCTGCCCACTTCCCACTGCCCGGCCCCTGCCCACTTTTGCCATGGGTACCACTGGTGGGCCTGTTCCCTGGATTCCCTGTCCTAATGAAGCCTTTCACTTTCCCCACTGGATTTTTATTAAGGAAACTCTTGGTTCCTCAATGCAGCCTTTTAAAAGATCATTCTCCCCATGTGGAGGACAATAAGAAAGAACTTAATTTAAAAAAAAAAAAAAAAAAAAAAAAAAAAAAAAAAAAAAGATCATTCTTCACCGAGGATGGGAAATGCTGCACAGACTCCAGGGAGGCCTTATAAGGGACGCCAGCCCCTAACCTCACACCAGGCCTTAGCAGTCAGCTAGTAGCTTGCACTCAAGGACTCAGCTGAGGGGGACTCAGGTGACCAGTCTTGACCT